TCTCTCTCTCTCTCTCTCTCTCTCTCTCTCTCTCTCTCTCTCTCTCTCTCTCTCTCTCTCTCTCTTTCTCTCTCTCTCTCTCTGTGTTTGTAAATTTGTGTGTTTCATACTAAGGACGATCCACACTGCAACAACGGCCTCTAAGCAACTACGACAACGCTAGACGCTGCTTTCTCTCTCTCTCTCTGTTTGTATTTGTCTATTTGATCTAAGCAACAACGACGCTCAACGATTGTCATCCTTTTTGAAATTCTTTTTGCCGCTCCCGACCTTGCGGAGTCTTTCTCGAAATTCGGGAATCTTGTAGCGGGGTTTTCCAATTTTTTCCGGTTTGGTCTCCAAGAAATTAAATTTCGCATTTAACACAAGCGGGAACCAGTGAAAGCGCAAGCGGGCGCTTGACGTTTAGAATGTGTCGTTTTACCGGGTCGTGGTTCTCCGAAATTTTGTCGGTAGCTCTTCAAAATTCCAATCTTGAAGACGGCCGTGGGCGAGAAATTCTAAACTTTTGACGACGTTCTTGACGATGGTCCCACTGGCTGGGAGGTTGAATTGATTTGTTTTACCGGAGTCCTGGCTGAGCCTCTCCGGACTTTTGTCGCTAACGATCTGAAAATTGGACTTTTGCGAAAATCTTGGCGGGAATTTGTCAAATGTTAAAAATATTCTTGACGGGATCTTTGGCGGGAATTTGTCAAATGTTAAAAATATTCTTGACGGGATCCTTATCGGGAATTTGTCAAATGTTAAAAATATTTTTGACGGGATCCCAGTAGCTGGCGCTCGAAATTATTTGTTTCTCCGACAGTCCAGGCTCTCTGAAATTTTGTCGCCAACGGCTTAAGAATTCTACTTTCTAAAATCCGTTGGCGGGAAATCCCAAATTGCCATTGATATTCTTGACGGGGGTCGCAGTAGCAAGTGTTCTCCTTTTGTTTCCATTTCGTGTTCAAGGAGTTTACCCCCGCATTAGCGACGCTCTTCCGGTCGTCCTCTGACACACTTTCTCGCGCTAACACTAAGTCTTCTCTATTGTAGGTGACGCCATCGTCATTTCCAGACGCCAGATAGGTTATCGTCTCTCCCAGTTTTCGCGATTTTGTGTTCAAGGAGTTTACCCCCGCGTTAGCGATGCTCTTCTGGTCGTCTTTTGACGCACTTTCTCGTGCTAACACTGAGTCTCCTCTAATCTAAGTGACGCCATCGTCACTTCTACACGCCAGTTAGGTTGTCGTAACGTATCTTCCTGCCATGGATTCTTTAACCGAAAGAAGTGCTCAGAGTAGTCGCAAGATGAACCCCGTGAGATGGTTTCCAGACCTTTCTCAATGCAAGAGCAGTGTTGATGCCAACAGTGTCAAGACGAAGACTGTCAGGTGGTTTCCGGACCTGCGTCAATGTTGTACAAGCGGAGGGGAGAAGCAGAACCATCTACCGAAGGTCAGCGCAAATGGTGAGACGAACGTCGATGTCTATTTGTTTCCGAAGCGTCCTCGATCGAACACGACAACAAGAACGGTTATTGTGCCATGCCGAGCAGCAAACACAGTGATAGGTCTCTGCGCAACCGACAAAATGGGGAGTAGAATCCAGATAGAGCGCCCAAGGAAGCGCCAGTGCTCGAACGCTGAAGGCGAACAATCCAGAGAGAGAGACGATGTACAAGACATGGGCGAGAAGTTTGTTGTGAAAGAAATGCTCTGCGGCAGCATGGCGCAAGAATTGCGTGACAACGGCACTGAGGAAGAGAAACCCAATGACGACGATGATGAGGAGGGCGAATCGAGCGACGACGATGATGAGGAGGAGGACACGAGCGAGGATGCCGATTCAGAAGACACAGACTCTGAGGATGATAAAGGGAAGAACGAGTCGAGAATTGATGTCGACATGTTCAAGAAGAGTCTATCTGGAGATCTTTTAGGAGAAGCGAAGCAGATAATAGCGCAGGAGGTGAGAAGAGGACTATACAGCAAATCAAGCAAGAGTGAGAAACCTCCTTACAACTTGGGAAAGCGCAGCAGGAACGTACGTATGTACAACAAGAAAGCTAACTACCACGTGAACATGAAGAAGGTCGAACTAGTTCTGAAGGAAGATTGCTGCAAGGCCAACTGTTACAGGAAGTTCACGGCGGTAGATGTTTTCTACAAGCGCGAAGCGTTTTGGGCGATGAAACAACTTGAGCAACTCAACTTCTTTCTCGCAGAGATGAGGGCTGCGTCGTACTTTTCGGATGAGGGAGATTTAGAGGTGTTAAGAGTGACATTCAACAGCGTAAAGGTTTGCACAAAAGCGTGGGGAAAGCTGTACGGATGCTCGACTACACATGTTGCAAAGATACGCAAAGAATTCAGAGAAGGAATGGTGTTGTACGAGCATGCAAACAAAGGATCAGTCGGATTATCTGCTTCATCACAGCAAATTCTCGCCTGGTTGCATGAATATTTCCGATACAATATTGAGAGTATGCCAAATAGCGACTCGTTTCATCTTTCAGATACTCTCCAGCGCAGAGACGTGTACGACTTCTTCAAGCGCGACTGCAAAGAGCTGTACACGAATAAGACTCTTCCTTCCCGTTCCAAATTTATGACCATTTGGAGGGTTCACTGCCCGAAAGTTCTTATTCCTGCATTGAAGAGGTTCTCGGTCTGTTCCAAATGTCTGAAATTCAAGACAGACCGTTCACAGGCAACAAGTGCCATCGAACGAGGTAATGACATAACCTCAGTGCTTGTCTTCTCTCCCCATGTCTTTCTGACCCTTCTTCTCTCTCTCTCTCTCTCTCTCTCTCTCTCTCTCTCTCTCTCTCTCTCTCTCTCTCTCTCAGTGTTTATTCTTCGATGTTTGCCACAGCGCGACTGATTGTTTTGAAATATCCCTTTAAATTATTTTTGCAGAAAGTAGAGGCTGTGACTTGCACATTTACGGAAGGATTCTCATGGAACTCTTCTTCGTCTCTCCTATTTCTTCTTCTTCTTCCTCTCTCTCTCTCTCTCTAAATGTTCTTCGTGTAGAAAAAATAATGAATCTAGTGTCAGCGCAAACTGGGAAGGATTCTTATGAAAGTAGAAAGTTTGGTAAAAAAATAATCAAACGTCTTCTCTTTGTCTCAGTTATAGTCCTATAATGCTTTGTCTCTTATTCGTCTTCGACTTCTCAAAGTTAAAGTCCTTTACCACTTTACTTAATAATCGACTTCGTTACGTCTGCGTTGCCTTCACCGAACTCGTTCAGTCAATCAAAACATAAATTTTGGGGAAGAATGAATTGAAGATTCTACGACGCTTGTCGACTGACTTTTCTGAGTTATAGCCCTATAACACTTTGTCTAATAATCGTCTTCGACTTCTAAGAGTAAAAGCCCTTTAACACTTTATCTATTAACCATTTTCGATTTTAAAGCCCTTGTTATTAGTGACGTTAGCGTTGCCTTGCCCAAACTTTGAATTTTATGATGCACGACACTTATGGACTAGCTTTCCTGAGTTATAGCCTAATAATACTTTGTCTAATCATTGCTTTCGATTTTAAAGTCTTTCAGCGCGCTTTGTGTTTTTTTTTAACGTGTTTTGACAAAGTAACCGCTTGTTTTGTTTTTTGCGCAGAAATGTTTGGCAAGGCACTAGAGAAGCACCGGTTAATGCAAGTAGAAGAGAGACAAAAACTCAGTAAGCATCGCCACAAGGCTTCAAGTCATCCGTCAGAGTATGTCGCAATGATCATTAATGGGATGGATCAGAGCAAGACTATACTGCCACACTTCACTAGGGTTCCAAAGGATTCGAAACTAAAAGAAGGGAACTTTGTGAAAGTTCACGTGGTTGGGGCTAAGGTGCTAGGACTCTCATCGAACGCCTTTGCAACTGTTTTCTTTGACAACTTCAAATCAGATTCTAATTGCATGCTAATTGTTCTTCATCGTCAGATTTCTGAAGTTCCTGTACCATTTCCGAGAGTCCTGTGTCTTACACTTGATAACACTTTGAAAGAGAACAAGAACAAATTTGTGTTGTCATAACACACACACACACACACACACACACACACACACACACACACACACACACACGCAAACGGGGGCTTTGTTCACTGTTCACGCATCCCAAAGCAGTGGGGGGGGTTCCGGGACACAAGCCTGTGCCCCACGACCCCCCCCACTCAAAAAAAAAAAAAAAAAAAAAAAAAAAAATTGCGTTTGCGTTCGCCAGTTTTTCAGGCCCGAACACGAACGTGTTCGCGTTCGCCAACGAACACGAATGGCGTGCAACGCAGGTTACCGTTGTTGTGGGCCAGTATGGGATTGGTGCAGTAGTGCAACAAGATGACGGGGATGGCTTGCAGCCACTCGAATACTACAATAAACGCATGCCCAGTGAAAATGTAGCTACTTGCACCTACATCACGAGCTTTATGCCTTGCGCATTGCTTTTGAGTCTTTTGACCATTGGAAGCACTATCTTTTGGGACGTAACTTTAAAGTCTTATTAGATCATAAGAGTTTGAAATGGATTAAAGAACAAACCACTTTTTGACCTACATTAACTCGCTGGTTCCATGAGATTGATATCTTGGACTTTGAAACACAAAAATGGTTGTTATAATCAAGTTGCAAATGCCAGATGCATTGTCTCGCCACCCCGAGTATATGACTTGCTTTGTGAACTCTAGCAACCTCTTGAAGAAACTGAAGGAGGAGCCCGTACAACAAACCACCAATGACCCGGACGTTAGAGCAATTGCGGGTTGACCCCAACAGTCAGCCTGATTTTTACAAATGTGGAGGACTGGTTTTCTGACGCTATGGAAATAATGACGGTTTGTGTGTACCCAACTATGCCAGTGAACCTCTCCACACGCACTTTGTGGATTGACTCATGGCCAGAGTGAACACTTCGGCATGACAAAAATGTGTGGAAACCTGTTGAGACATTTTGATTGGTCTGGTATGAAAGGATCTACTGAAAAGTTTGCGGTTGAGTATCAAGTTTGTCAACGAATCAAACCATCAAGACAAAAAATTATGAGGTTGCTTAAACCTCTTCCCATTCCCGACGGTCCCGGAGAGTCTATCTCTATCGACTTCACGAATATGGGAAAAATAATTAAAACTGGTTATTTGTTGATCACTTTTCTAAATTACTCAATCTGATTTCATTGCCACCTCATGCCCCAACTGGAGTTGTGATCCGTGAGTTCCACCAGAAGTACATTATGGAGATCAGAATCTCGAAAACCTTTGTGAGTGATCGGGATCCGCGCTTCGTAAGTACGGAATGAAAGGAATTCATGCCTCAACTCCCTGGCATCCCAAGGCCAACAATTTGGCTGAGGAGATCAACCAAACTATGTTCCAACTTCTCCGTGTTTTAATCAATTCGGATCAGGAAACGTGGGATGAAGAGTTGTATTCCGTCACAGGGTTGTACAACAACTTCATTCATTATTTCACCGGCACGACGCCGAACAGGTTGCAGTACGGTTGGCAGATTCGTAATCCGTTGTCCTCCTGATTTCTTGAACAGCCAACTAGTTTAACACTCGAGCGTCCTGGCTTCAGTGCCAAGTACGGTCGCTTGCTCAAAATTGTCATCGCAACAATGACCAAGCGACAATATGCAATGATCCATCATGCGAACAAGAAACGTCAACCTTCGGATATTAAAGTGAGAAGTTATGTATGGGTCAAGATGTCTAAATTTTCAGAAGAAGAGCGAGTGTCACACAAACTTTTTCCGCTCTATTATGGTCCGTGAGAAGTTCTAAATATGGTAGGTAAGGATAAAATGACCCATCATACACAATTGTTGTGCCTCCTCATCTGCGCACGTACGTAGGGAAGGGATGTCTCCTCTCCCTCCCCCTCTTCCACTCGTGCCATTTCCACTCCCATCTCCTCCCCTGCCTGCGTCTCGCCTTCCAGTTCCCCTGTCTCCTTGCCCATTTCCTGAGTTTCTTCCTCCCTGACCCCTTCCTTGATTCCTTTCTCCCCTGTCTCCTCTTTTTCCTCTTCCCCTGCCTCCTCTTCCCCTCCCTCTTCTTCCTTCTGGCATAGGTTCGTGGAATTTAGGACAATCTAGGTCAAACTCATCATGATACCACCACAAACATTTTTGGCAAAAGGGGGTATCCTGATCCACGACCAGCATGATAGACCTGGATGAACGAGTTACCGCCGAAGAGGCAGAAACCTGAAATTTGCAAAAGAGAAGTCAGTTATCGGTCCGGCGGACCTAATCTATTCAACTCTTCGTGATTAAGTAGCACTTCGTTTCACAGGACACGTAGGTCTGGTAGCCTTTAGGCTCCAATAGGCGACCGGGTGAAGATATAGTAAAGAGACACGTATTTTGCTACCCTGAATGTGCATGATGCTTTCCTTCTATCCGGTCTAATTTAATCCAATAGCAAAGCAGACAAAGAGAGACTCCTACTCATGATGCCTACTCCGGTATGAAATAGGTTAATAGAGGACCAATCGAGCCTGGGCTAGTCACGATGTCGAATTACAACAAGCTGGTTTTGCTGTTGGACCTCTCTCGTTCGGGGTAGACTGTATTGGTCCGGAAAAAGAGAATATTGCCTGGGGTGGGCATCTCTCTGTTACTAGTCGACTTCACCTTGGGAGTAACGAGCTCATAATTAGATCTTCTTGTTAGCTCACTATCAAGACGTTACTGTGTCTGTGAATGGACTCTCTGGTGACTCTCTGGTGCTCATCAGTGACGTGGCGCTGCTTTCGCGCCGCGTCAATACCTCATATAACTCATCAATGTTTCCGTCCACCTGGATCTCGACCGCTGCTCCACTTCCATTCCTCCCCCTTCGTAGAAGGAGTTTGACCCGGCCATAGCCAGGTAGGCTTCAGCAGATGCCCCGTGATGACGGCCTCGTGTCGTGCCTCGAGTAAGTGGAACTGGTTGTACGTAGTCTTTCATGCATCAAAGTCGTGATGCAGAGTCCTTTGACTATTGTGAAGACATGATTTCTCGTGCAATCAAGGGCGGTGACGAGATCGATAGAATCAAACAACACGTAGGGAAGGGATGTAATTGACAATACCAGATTCATTTTATGTATCACCCGTAAATCGATCTCTATTCGATCTCCAAGAAGGAACTGTTATGCAGCGCACCACCCGTTGTTAAAGCCTACGAGCGACAAATAGGCTCTAATGTTGTACCTAAAATCTTTGCAAAACTCACTGCTACTGAGTGCTCTCGAAATCTCTTTGCTTTGTTTGCTTATGACGCGTTTGTCGGGGACTCGGAATGAGTTACTCGCTCGAAGGGACCTCGCTCCTCAGAGGGGGGTATTGTAATGACCTAACCAAACACTGACTGAGACACATAGCTGATTTTTTTGTTTTGCTCCTGGCCTGAACGCCTTGCTGAGTTTCCCGCTTGTTACCAAGTTTTCTAAGTTTGTGTCTATGTGACCGTATGAACGAGCATTCGCGTTCGAACATGAGCAATCAAACGGCCGAGGGTCGTGTTC